AATCTTTGCCATTATTGAGTTTCTTAAAAACTTTCTTTTTTTTTTGAGCTTTTATTGCTATTTAGACAAATCGATATTCTTGTAATGTATATCTCTCGAGATAAATTTTCCGCTTGACAACATTCGCGATTGATGCAGCAAATCTGTAAAATTTACTAGAAACTTCTCTCTTTTGATCAATAAATGCTCGTATAAACTGTTCTTGAATAAACATAGAGCATATTTAAATTAAATTATACGACCGTCTATGAACAAACAAAAATCAAAATATTTGACGTATTTTGCAAATTTATTTTATAATTTACATATACTTTTTTTTGTATGGATAAACTTATTTATCTTGACGTAGATATGCGACAATACAAATTACATTTGATTATATTTTTATTTCTGATATTATACAAGTATAATTGTAATCTATTATTATTGCAAAAAGAAATTAGATATGCTCTCCAAAGTTCACAAATCCGTTTTTTTTTTTAATTATTATAATTATGGCTGTTATAATCGATTTTTATAAATTTTTATTTTATAAGTTATTCCATAACGTTATTGCTGTCAATAAAGTTTGTGATTTAAATATGTGTAGAAATATAAAATATAACTTCTGAAAAAATTAGTTTTAAATATTTTAAACGTGGATATTTACAGAAAGTGCTGAATCTGCATGGAAAAGAGTTATCAGAATTTCAATATGTAATTAATATAATTCTATATTAAAATTATAATGTTTTTATTTTGTCTCTTAAAAAATGTTTTGGTTGTTTCAACATTAGTTTTATTTGAGCAAAAGAAACATATATAATTTTATATATAATTTTACTTGAGCGAGAAAGAAAAGTAATATACATATATTAGGAGATACAATACAAAGACATTCAAGATCTCATAAAGTAGAATATTAAAATTTCTATTCCGCATGTAACACATGAGAAGAACAGGCAAAAATTGTTCCATTAATGTCTCTCGCGTTTGAAGCTGAAATTTACAAACAAAAGTTCATCCACTTTGGTTACTGCTTGATACGAAAACACTAACTACACCGTGCACCAAACGTAATTAAAAATTTATTGACAATACCGTAGCGACCGAAGAAAAATTGGGTTGTGCTAAAATAGTTAAACGACCATCGATTTTTTTTGCGGCGTTATGACCACAAATGTATTCTGATATACCAATTCTCAAGCTGACTGAACGATGTGATCGCATGAATAAAAAGATAAGAATAAAAAAATAAAATAGCCTTAATACGTATCGCAAAATAAATGGGATAAATGATTTATATAATTTTAGTTTATCATTAGTTCAATGACCAAAGCAACACAAAATGCATTTTTGCAAACAAGTCACACAATCCGTGAAAAGATATATTTGGATGACTGGAAAATGACAGGCTATCAATGTTTATCAATGGCCTGTTCGTTTGGTGTATAATTTTGTGTGATTTTCTATGCGTATAAAATTAAAATCTCGCTGAATCAAGCCACGTTATTAAAGCTACAAATTATTAAAATATTATAAAGGAGGATGAAAGCACAGGACAAGAGCACAGGATATGGGATAGATGAAACGAATCGTTGGACGAATTTAACAGTATTAAACAGCTGGACGATATTAAATAGTATATGAGTGCGCGAACGCGTGTCTCTCTCATCCTCGGAATCAAATATCATCCTCTTTCTGCGATCACAGCCGTCTAAAGCACTCGCTGTGACTGAATAATTATCCGAATGGCACATCGGAGACGGGCAGAAGCTTCCTCCGCGAAATGGAATTCCCGTTTCCTTTGTACGTGACCCGCCAATGGATTTTCCCGAGCGTTCTGATACCCGGAGCTCTCATGCCACGTTTCATTCCACCGGATTGATTTGTTTTCAATTCGAATACTCCTGGCGCTGACTCAAGGCTGGATTAATCGTAGTAGCAATCTAGGCTAACCAATTCTTGTCTGTTAACCAATCAGCAATGGGTTTTACCAGGGGCTAACGCCGAATACACAAATATATATTAGAAGAATTTTGCCAGATGAATTATAAAACATTAATAATAAAATGATACGAAGATTTTAATCACGGTTATAAGAAAATTAAATTAACACAACAGCTCTGTTACATGTAGTACTAGGAGAAATATCTCATTGTTAAAATATAAGATAAAGTGACTGTTCAATATTTTAACGTACAAACTCAAATATATATTATTTTTATCCGTTTTTTTTTATTTACGTTTCACTCTGCGCGAACTCATTAATTTAATCTCCGCCCTCATTTTCTATAAAACGTGACTTGGATTCGTCGTCATTAAGTAAAGTTAAAAAAGCAGTCGACGCGGAGCTGTCATATAATCCGGGTACCGCGTTCGAACAGAAAATAATTTTACGGCATATCGGGTATCGGCAGGTCGACTTAATGCCATTACGAGTTAATAGACCGCGATACCGATAAATTCGCCGGTAAACGCCCGTCAAAACTTTTCGCGCGAGGCAAAGATTCGTAAGCGAGAAAAAAAAGTTCGCAATGCAAGATGGTGTTTGGCTGCATCGATGCATTTTTGCCAGGCGGCTGCGATTTTTCATTGAAGTTCCTGTCTTATTGTTTGTACTCTCTTCAGTTCTCTTTTTAGTTCTCTTTTTTTAATTTCCTCGGCTTTGTGACACTTTCGACATAAACAGCATCTCTACAATTAAGTAGATGGGAAATAGAAAAAAGGGTGAGGAAGATGGAAGGATAAAAAAAAATGGACGGAAGTCGGCAAAACGAGCAGGTTAAGAAAGTTGAACGATCCGCAATTGCTGGAAGTAGGTCGAGTCGTTTTAAAACATTATACGTGCCGTAAAGTAAGCAGAAAACTAAGAATAATTATAAATACAATAATGGCAATTGACGTTATATTGTCAAAATCATCGATTGGCATCGGACCGGGAATAAGAACCGAATCTCGCTAAACTTGATTTTTTTTCGAAATTGCGCACAGTATCAAAAAATCTAAGATAAGTAATCTTAATTTTGTATAATATTTATGACGAGACAGTTATGCAAACACATTGACTGGGAAATGTCAAATTTTCCTTGCACAAGACGAAGCCAAGGAAATATTTGGCTGTTTAATTTACGCTCGTCGGTCTTATTGCGTGATAAAATACAGATGACGGTTTAAATTGGGCGGCGGGAATGTTCCAATGGAAATGTAACCGGGAAAGTGCTCAAATCCGGTTTCTCGGTTTACGAGAGGCAATTTTCGAGATTCAAGACGACTAGTAAAATCTGTGAGCATAGGAGTTGTAAGGGCATAAACATAGTTTCGTCGATCGTAATCGCGGAGCGTAGTAAGGTAGGACCGAATGGTAGGCTCTGCCATTCATGCTGCGTTGGACAGTCACAGCAAATGGACTAATTGCCGGCGTAATTATCCGGAATTAATCGGGATAAACCGCTTAATTATCACGTCTCGTACAAAGCTCGTTTGTTTCTCAGTATATCTGTTAACCGATTTTGGACCAGCAAAATGCCGCTAAATGTGCGCTAATTATCATCGGTGCGGCATCGAATCGTCGAAACTGACGGCCCATGCTATGCTCTCGTTTCCGCTCCTATAGGAAGTTGCAATCCGAGGATATTTAAATGCAAATCCGATGTAATCAACATGTCTAGTGCAGATTATGCTCGGAATTTCTCGGAGGATGAAAACGGTTTCAGTAAATATTAAGTCGCGCAAGTATTATCCTGAATCTGTAAGTTCATGCACGTATTTCCTTCCTTTAATTGGAGAATATTTACTCTGTTATCAATTTTTTGTTGTAAATAAATATATAACTGTTATAAATTTTATTATATGAAAAATTTATTATTATATAAATTTATTTAGTAAAATTGACAAAAACATTTAGTCCTTTTACGTTATTTTATAAATTATAGATCTTAGAGATGCAGAATATATATACTATTAGAATATTAACATTTAGCAAAACATATCTATTTCTTCATTTAATCTTTTTTGCAGATTTGAATATTGCAATATAAATTATTGTATATAAAATATAAGTTTTGAAAAACCTATACATATAAAATAAACTCTGTTCATAAAACTTTTAAAGATTGAATTTTTTCCATTATATGAGAAAAAAATCGTGCAAAAAGCTATTGTAAAGAATGATACAGACTTTATGGCGTTTCAGTGAACATCTGTGAAAAAGATGAACCAGCGCGTTGCAAATCAGTAGCGGTAATCAGTACGGATAGAAACGCGTATCGAAAACAGCTTAATCAACGCAGGAATATATGGCGAGTGCGACGGCTTAATTAAATTGCTGCGAGATACGTGACTCTCTGTTTCGGTCACTTCGTCACTCTGCCGGAATAAGTTCCCGACATGGAGTTATTTTGCCCGCGTTCGTTGCAGGACGGTCATCGTCCATGACGCGATTGCCTCCTTCGTGTCCCGGCATACCAATTAAAATTTATGTATTTCTCTCCAGCAACGACGAGCAACGATACCGAACATTTCACCGTGAATTTATCGCGGCGATACCGCATAAAAAGACACTTTGAACGCTATCAGAATCGGATTTATCTACGATCCGGAAATACCTCGTCGAATAGCATAAAAGAAGGCAAACGATTCGGGCCGACTTGCGACTTGTTTTTTGCATAAAGATAGATTTTTCCGGCGCAAATCATACGAAGGATCAAATGTCAGAAACGTGTATTTTAAATTTGAATATCCATACGACGTTTTCAATCATCCTACCGAAATCCTGTGTTCTATCATAAATGCATGTTCAGGATACATAGATGAATACTCTAGTATGTATTATATATAACTGCGAGTTTCTCTTTGTATTTTGATGACGCATTTTACGACAATAATTTATCGCGGTTTATCACTTTTCAGACTAAAAGTATCTGTCGATATAATGACATATGATTTAGCGAACATACATTTAATGATTATTATAAATTTATCGTCATTCCGTTAACCAGGATTTTCATCTATTTTTGCAGAGTAATCGCAGCCAACCAGCCATTGGATTGAAGCAGACGCCGAAAGCACGGGTGAGTAATAGTATTATTTTTACATATAATAATCTGTCCATATATATATATAATATTTTTCGTTTGTGATTTTGTGCAAATTGCAAACTATATCTCTATCTACTATATTAAATTAAAATTTGTTATTATTATCACGTTGTATATTAAAACATGCATATATATATATAT